GATGATTTCTCAACAGAAACTCTGCAGGCCAGAAGGGAGTGGCAAGAGATATTCAAAGTGATGAATGCCAAGAACCTACAACCAAGATTACTTAACCAGCAAAGCTATCATTCAGAATTGAAGGGCAGATAAAGAGCTTCACAGATAAGGAAAAGCTAAAGGAATTCATCACCACCAAACCGGTATTATATGAAATGCTGAAAGGTATCCTTTAAGAAGAGGAAGAAGAAGAAAAAGGTAAAGATACAAATTATGAACAACAAATACACATCTATCAACAAGTGAATCTAATAATCAAGTGAATAAATAATCTGATGAACAGTATGAACGGGCGATTGTAATAGAATCAGGGACATAGAAAGGGAATGGACTGACTATTCTTGCGGGGGGGAGGGGTATGGGGTGAGGGAAGGGATTGGACAAAAATCGTACACCTATGGATGAGGACAGAGGGGGGTAAAGGCAGAGGGTAGGGTGGGAACTGAGTGGAGGGGAGCTATGGGGGGGAAAAGAGGAACAACTGTAATAATTTGAACAATAAAGATTTATTAAAAAAAAAACGGAGGAAAAATAAAATGAGTAAGGGGGTGGTTTCCCCAATATTTCTCTAATCCTTTCTGTTAATCCAGTATATGCTCACATAATCTAGACACAGTACATATAGGATTTCTTAATGAGTTCAGTTATTTCGAAAAATAAGCCATCCTCCAAGCAAGCGTGCTTGATAGGATCAGAAGAATGAAGGCCAAAAGGCATCCATCTGTCCACCTCCTTTTGAAGACAAAGATTTTAGGATGTTAATAAACTAAATCAAATGTGAACAGATTCATGCCTACTAACAGATATGGGTTAAAATAAAAGTCTACATACCTAAAAACAGATTACTAAATTCTAAGAGTTCCTAATGCAAGCTTTTCGTGAAGCACTAAAAGCTTTTTCTTTACAACACTAATCACTATCTTGCACCATCATCCCTTCAAAAATTAGAAATCCCTGTTACTATTATGAGAAAAGAAGTTCTGCAGTCAGATTCACATGGATTCTGCCATTTACTAGCTTTATGATCAATCATGTGTCTTAACCTCTCAGAGGCTATCGATTGAGAAAATGACTAATATTTACCTTCACGTTATTGAATTAAATGCAATAATGAATAAATTACTGCAACTGCAGTAATATCATTACAGAAATATAATAGCAGAAAAAAATTGTAAATGTATCTAATTAAGTTCCAAGGTACATCTCGGATACAAAAATAGCCTCCCCTTCAGACCAGATACTTCTTTCAAATTTGAATGAATAAAAGAAACAAACAGTCCAAACACGGCACTGAAACTGGTGCTCAAGAATGATTAGTCCCTTTGCCAATGAAAGCCAAACACTGAGTCAAAGAGGAATCCTCCAATCAGTTCTTTGTTCATCATGCTTCAAATCCAATGTGAAGCCTCTTCAAGAACAGTTTAACTAAGACTGTCTAGAGCTGGTGCACAGATAAGTAACCAAGTCTTTTCAAGAGGCCACAGACTGAAAAGCTTCATCACTGAGTCAAACTCCTTCTCTCCTCCACATTCACTCCTCTGGCTCATGACTGCTTGTCTCTCAGCCATAGCCTCCTCACCAGTATATCAGCCTTAAATCTGTTCCATTTCCCAAACTAACCTTCACACCACCTTGGAATCTTTCTAAAATCCAAATCTGATCTATTTTAAATCCTTGAGATACTTCTTCCCTATCACTATAGGATACTGCCTAATTCATAAACATGCTTCTGGAGCCATTTACAGGATAAACAGGCAATATTTGCAGTATCTGCTTACCATTTCCTCTCATTCAATAGAGGGGCCAATATGTGCTAAGCATTCTAACAGAATTTAAAGATGCAAAAACTAGGAAGAGATATACCTTCCTCTCAGGTAGCTACTGCATCCACCCTCCAAAATACTATTTGCAAATCCTGAACTATACCACTCCATCTCTGTCCATGTTTTCCCCACCCCCACCTCCATGTTGGTTGCCCTTTCCCACTTACTGCCTAAGGAGTTTTCCTTCAAGAGCTCTCTACCTTTCCCTCCACAACTTTCCGGGACTCCATTCCTCCTAATCTTATCCCAGAAGAGTCGATCACTCCTTGCATGTAAATACTATAACAGTTAACTACCTATACTTATAAGTATCTTCACATTTATGTACCTCTTAGCAACTGAAAACTGGAGTAGTCTACCCCCTTGAGAACCTGGAGTAAGCCTGGACAATTATACATGCACACAACCTTAGGCATTCTCTATCCCTGCCATGTTTATAAAGTCAACACAACTAGATTCCTCCTTTGGTTCCTGGGAGCAAAGCTCTGACTTGAACCAGCGCCCAAGCTGTTGGATCTCTGTATATTATTCTTTATTTCAGTCAGTGTATGCTTAATTTCTAGTTGGTCCTTTTTCATATCCTCGAGGGTCTCACTAAATTTATTGGCGGTTTCTAGAAAATTCTTGAAAAACCTTATAACCGTGGTTTTGAATTCTCTATCTTGTAGTTTGCTTTCCTCCATTAACAAAAATGATTTACCACTCATGACCCTGAACACAATGCTTAAACCTACTACTGCCACCACGGAATTCTTTTATTGCCTAAAACCTCTTCCTTTCGTGTCACATTCATTGGGTGGTATTTTAAAACATATTTTGATGATCATTTGAGTATAATTAAGTCACTATCCTTGGATATTCATTTTCTATTTATGGTTATCTCCTATGAGCCTACCTCTATGCTAAATCAAGTTTTCCTAAGTCTGATTACACTCTACCTGAGTTTCCTATTCTACTAACCCAGTCCTAAATGTAAGCATAATAATACGTACAAGAATAATAAAACCAGTAAATACTACCTATTTCCCTAATCATTACAGATACAACCACTATCTGACCTATATTTTGCTCTGAAAACTCTAACATTCGTATTAAAACCTATCAAGTATCAAAAGTGGATTCTTTTTTTTTTCCTCTGTAAAACCACACCATACAATCATGCTTCCCTGTGCAGGATCTTTCATATTCCTTTGTCACTTCTTATTTGGGCTAAAGCAATATATTTTCCTTTAGTCTCCCAGACCTCTAGTAGGCATGCGATATTTAAAATTATAATTATTCATAACAATGGAATAATTTCCTTTGAAAGTAATATGGAAACAGTAACAAAATACACCAAAGTATTTCCTGTAGCATATCCATTTAAAAAGATTAACTCGGTTGCAAAAAAGCAACAAATTTTAAGCAAATATAGCTACTGAATTCTTCCAGCTTTTTTGTTAAATAAAACTGTGAAATGAAAGGCAATCCATAAAACGAAACTACTGAATTGTTAAATGCACATATCTTGTCCATCAAATTTAAGAAACAAAAGATCACAACTCACATCTAGTTAATAACTGATGTTCTAAAAATACAGTTCAGTCTGTTGAATCCTCTGGACTTTATATTAATTTATTGGTTTAAAAACAAATGACAAAATACCCTGAAAATGAAGACTTTGTGTCCTGTAGATGTTCTTTTCTCGGAGAGTCATCCCTCGAGCTTTCATCGTGTGATTTCTCTCTTCCGTCTTCTGAGATATGTTGATAGTCAACACTGTGACTGGTTTCCAATGGATTTCGATTTGAATGTTTCCTCTCTCCTTCTCTCTCAGCAGAGCGACTTCGTGATGATAAATTTTCTTCGCTGTTCTCTGTCGGTTTTCGAAAACCACAACGCACAGAACCCTGAGTGGCCAGTGCTGAGGGTGAACTAGATTCAACATTCCTGCCCATGTGATAAAATGACAGTTCATCATCAGAGGGCCTTATAAATTTAGGTCTCAAATTTCCAAGAGAAGAAAACTCTTGACTTTGCCTTGAATTGGAGTCTCTTCTATATGTTTCTGAAGACCCAGATCTATTATTTTTTTCATCACCATAAAACTTATCTTTATTTTTTGTAATATCTGTTGAACTATGTCTATCCCTTGAACTTTTATTATATTTTGTCAAGTCTGATTTTCTACTTTCTTGACTACTCAGTGCTTTATCTGAATACGTTGGCTTCCTCCAGCGTTCTCGTCTACAGTCTTCTTTTGTGGATGCAGTTTTTTCAGCTTCTTCTAATTTCGACTGAAATATTTCCATTGACTAAAAAGGAGAAAAAGTAAACAAGATATATAAAATTTTAAAAGGTTCAATGATTTGTATCCCATATTCTACTGGGCCATGATGCGCTGTTATTTAGCACAATGAAAGAAAAATCCAACAAAGAGGTAAAAAAAAAAAAAAAATATGGTCATCCTACCTAATGTGGGCTAAATTGCATCCTCTCCCACCCCCACCCCCCCAAAGTCACATGCTGAAGTTCTAACCAAGAGTACCTCTGAATCTGACCACACTGGAAAACAGCCTTTAAAAAGATGACTAAGTAAAAATGAGGTCATTAGGTTAAGTCCTAATCCAATCTGACTGATGTCCTTATAAGAAGAAATGTGGACACACAGAGATACCCAGGATGCACACAAAGAGAAAATACTATGTGAGATACAGCTGGAAGGCAGTCATTTACATGCCAAGAGGAGAGGCCTCAGAAGAAACCAAACCTGCTGACATGTACATCTTGGACTTCCATGCTCCGACCTAAACCAAGGATAAGGAAACTTTTTCTGCCAAGGACCATTTGGATATTTATAAGGTCATTTGTGGGCCATTCAAAATTATCAGCTTAAAAATTAGCCTGCTATATTTGGTCAAACATTTAATTAACTCATCCCTAATACCTTGGCAGGGCCAGACCAAATGATTTCACGGGCCTTATACGACCCGCGGACAGGACATTCCCCAACCCTGTCCTAGACTGTGAGAAAATAAGTTGTTATTTAAGTCATCCAGTCTGTAGAACTTTGCTATGGCAGCCTTAGCAAACTAATATACTACGCAAAAATAAATACTTTTAAAATATAATTAATCAATGAAAAATTACCAAATTAAAAAGAAATCTTGGAACTGAAAAGGAGTCAGTAAAATACATAATACAGAAATAGTTAAGAAATAATTTTTTAAAAATTCTTAACTGTTACTGAGATTCAAGAGGTTGCTACACTGCTAAAACATACAAACTCTATGTGAAAAGCAGAGTTCAAGAACAAGAAAGACTTGAAAATAAAAACTGTGTCTATAAGCATGCAGATACAGTGCATGGAGAAATAGAAAGCATGGAATCCAAGTTAGTGAATTCAACACTAGCCTGGGAATTCTCTACAGTTAGGAAAAGATGGTAAATAGATACGTTATAAGGGAAAAAGAAACATGGACACTTAATTCTAAGGTAATTTAACATGCATGTACTAATACTTGCAGAAAGAGCAGAGATAGAAAAAAATACTAACAAAATGTAATAATAAAAGAAAATTTCCCTAGCTAATTTTCCAGTTCCACAGTGCTTATCTGATATCCACAGAGAAGGAAGAAAGTGAAGCATAAAAAGACTCATGCATTCCATCAAACCTCAGAGGGAAGGCAGGGTTGGGGGCGGGTAGGAAATCAACCAAAGGACTTGTACGCATGCATGTAAGCATAACCAATGGGCACAGACAATAGGAGGGTGAAGGCCTATATTGGGGGGCAGGGGCGGGCTGGGAGAGGTCATGGGGGAGAAAGGGGACATATGTAATACTTTCAACAATAAATGAATTTTTTAAAAAAGACTCATGCATTAAAAACCCTAATTCCTGAGTCTCAAAATTCACATAAAAATAAATTCTTAAAAAAGACTAGATCAGAGGAAAGAAGGAGTAAGCATAGGCATGTAAACAGATGGGAGTAGGTAAATAAGTAACACATTACCTATACACAAAAGAAAGATTGTTAACTTCTCATCTACAACTAAATGCTATAAATATGGAATAAAGATCAATTTTAAAAATAATTATAAGGAAATAATTCTATGTACAGAATTCAATTCACAAACTATCCTATCCTGGTATTGACCAAAAAAAAATAATTTCCAAAAACTGCCAAAAATATCAGAGTCAATAAAATATGATAAATAAAGACAACAAAACAGCAATTACCACAAGTTATCCAATGCTTACTATATTACACTAGAGGCCCTGTGCACAAAAATTTGTGCACTCGGGGTGGGGGCGAGAGGAGGGGATCCCTCAGCCCGGCCTGCGCCCATTCACAGTCCAGGACCCCTTGGTGGATGTCCACCTGTCGACTTAGGCCCACTCCCCAGGGATCAGGCCTAAGCTTGCAGTCAGACATCCTTCTGGCAGCCAGGGAGCCCTCGGGGGATGTCCAACTAAAGGCGTAGGCCCCCAAGGGATTGGGTCTAAACAGTTAGTTGTACATTCTTAGTGCTGCCACGGAGGTGGGAGAGGCTCCTGTCACCACCACTGTGCTGGCCAGCCATGAGCCAGCTTCTGGCTGAGTGGCACTTCCCATATGGAAGTGCACTGACCACCAGGGGGCAGCTCCTGCATTGAGCGTCTGCCCCCTGGTGGTCAGTGTGCATCATAGCAGGTTCTGCAGTTTTTCTGCTGTTTAGTCAATTTGCATATTAGCCTTTTATTATATAGGACTAGAGGCCTGTTGCATGAAAAGATTCGTGCAATAGGCTTTCCCTTCCCCTGGCTGCTGGCACCAGTTTTCCTCTGGCACCCGGGACCCAGACCTTCACTCTGGCCACTGCCTTCCATCTTCGCTCTGGACACAGTCTTCGCTGTGGCTGGAGCCTTTGGTCTTTGCTCCTCGCTCTGGCCGGAGTCTTCAGTCTCCTGCCAGATCGCTGCTTCACTTGCAGCGCAGGCAAGGCGGCTCCTGGGTCCCAGGGGGCTGCCTTGCCTGCGGCCCGACTTTTCGATCACCATCACGATCAAGATTACAGCCACAGGCAAGGCGGCTCCTGGGGTCGCACACAGGGGCCTGGATGGGGCTCCTGGTGTCCCACCCTGCCTGCAGTATGCAAATTAGCCACCATCATTGTTGACAATTAATTTGCATATCATGATGATTAGCCAATGGGAGGCATAGCAAAGGTATGGTCAATTACCATGTTTGTCTATTATTAGATAGGATTGTTTGCATAATTTAAGTAGGTTCTAAGGTCAATACCTAAGTTCAAATCTACATATTGACCATGTAATCTTGGTTATTTAACCTGTGTCTGTCTCAGTTTCCTCCTAAAACAAGAATAATTATATTGTTGTATTAAATAAGTGAATTACACACAAGTATTTTAACAATGCCTAGCACATGTAAAGCACTAAAATAATTATTAACGTTTCCAACAATTCTATGAGAATGATACTAATAGTCATGTTTTTAAAATGGGGTGGGGGAAATGACGCCAAGGTCACAAAGCAATAAAGTAACAAACATGATATTGAAATTCAGAACCATATGACTACAAAGCCAAAGTTTCTTGTTTGTTTGTTTAAAATATATTTTATTGATTTTTCAGAGAGAGAAAGGGAGAGGGATAGAGAGCTAGAAACACTCATGAGAGAGAAACATCAATCAGCTCCCTCCTGCACACTCCCCACTGGGTATGTGCCTGCAACCAAGGTAAAGGCCCTTGACCAGAATCGAACCTGGGACCCTTGAGTCCGCAGGCGGACGCTCTATCCACTAAGCCAAACCGGTTAGGGCCAAAGCCAAAGTTTTTAATTACTATGTCAAAATGCCTCATTCAATGATTAACTCTTCTAAAGTATTAAGAAATTATATAAAATGTCACAATCCAATAATATTCTCACTATCAAAACTTAATAAAAAAATAACATAAAAAGAAAACTAAAGGACATAAAGATATAAATTCACTAATTAAAGGAAATGCCATGATCAAACAGGAGAATGAAATCTTGCCATCTCTGACAGCATGGGTAGATCTAGAGCAGTGATGGCGAAACTATGACCCGTGTGCCAAAGGTGACACGCGAACTCATTTTTTTGGTTGATTTTTCTTTGTTAAATGGCATTTAAATATATAAAATAAATATCAAAAATATAAGTCTTTGTTTTACTATGGTTGCAAATATCAAAAAATTTCTATATGTGACACAGCATCAGAGTTAAGTTAGGGTTTTTCAAAATGCTGACACACCAAGCTCAAAAGGTTCGTCATCACTGACCTAGAGGGTATCATGCTAAGTGAAATAAGCCAAAAAGAAAAAGACAAATACCATACGATTTAACTTATGTGTAGTATCTAAACACAAAATAAATGAACAAACAAAACAAAAATAGACTCATTGATACAGAGAACAAATTGATGGTTGCCAGATGGGTAAAAAGGGGGAAGGGATTAAGAAGTACAAATTGGCAGTTATAAAAATAGTCGCAGAGATGTAAAGTACAGCATAGGGAATACAGTGAGCAATCTAGAATAACGGAAGTGTAATATGCTAATCAGACCAGACGAAGCCAGGGCTGTCAGGGAAGCCTGTGTCCCGGGGACCAGAGGGAAGCCGGAAGCCGGTGCTGGGGAAAGAAAGGCCTATTCTTGCAGGAATTTCATGCATCAGGCCTCTAGTATTGTAATAACGATGTATGGCACCAGGTGGCTACTAACCTTATAAAGAGATCACATCATAAGTTGTATAAATGTCTAATCACGATATTGAAAACCTGAAACTAATATAATATTGAATGTCAACTGTAAATGAAAAGCTAATTTTTGAACTATGAATAAAAGACCTTGCTACATAGTAAATTCTAATTATTTGCTATGTGCACAGATTACTAAAAACTATAATAATTGTAACAATACTAGAGGCCCGGTGCATTGGGGTGGGGGGGTCTCAGCACGGCCTGCGTCCTCTTGCAATCTGTGACCCCTTGGGGGATTTTGGACCTAAACCGGCTGTCAGACATCCCTCTCACAGTCTGGGATGCTGAATGCACCAGTGACCATAATTTTCATACAGGTGAAAGGCATCTTGCTGTTGTGTGGGCAGATACATTTTTTTGCCCTGATTATAAAAAGTAGTACATAACATGATCCTTCTGAGGCAGTAGTACCATTTTCCCCATCTTATGGGTGGAAAAACGGAAGCAGGGAGAAGTTAAGTAATTGGCTTTGTCACACAGTTGTAAGTGTCAGAATCAGGGCTGACCACAAAATGTGCAAGCCAGAGTCCATGCATGTCATTGCTGCATTATCCTTTTTTTCCAGTGTCAGAGTAGCCTTGCCAGGTTTTAAATTTTAAATCTAAGAGACTGTTTCCAATATATAGGATAGGGTCCCTAGGCCTGGCCAGAGATCAGGGCCATCTGCAAGTGGGGCAATCAGAGCCCCCCACCCCAGCACCCACCTTAGCTGGCGGCCTGGCACCGCCCACTGGCTGGCCCCACCCCCGATCACCACCACTGGTCGCCTCCCTCTCTGGGGGCAGACACTCAATGCAAATCAGGGGCAGCTCCTGTGTTGAGCGTCTACCCCCTGGTGGTCAGTGCGCTTCATAGCAACCAGTCATTCCACCAGTTGTTCTGCAGTTCAGTTAATGTGCATATTAGGGTTTTATTATATAGGATGGTACTGATTCCAGTAAATCACAGAAAAATCAATAGAATAGATCTGAGAGTAAAAGAACAGACCTATTTTATAAAAGACAATTTAATATATAATAAATATGTCATTTCAAATTAGTGGGAAAGAATAATTCATTCTACATATTGTAAACAACTAACTGAAGATTTATAGAAAGCTAGATGTCTACTTTACACTATATGCAAATATATATTACAGACAGATTAAAGAAATGCATAAAAAGACATGAAACCAAGAGAAAGAAATATAAACAGATTTTTAAAGGTTTTAAATGAAACAATATCCTAATGGCAAAATTGGTAAATACTACCAATAATCAATTCACTTAAAAATACTAATGGCCAGAAAATATATTTAAAAATATTTCAATTCATTAATAAATGTATAAAAATAAAAGCAAAGAGAAATCTGTTTATTATGTCATTATAGTAAAAGTATAATTTGATCAATCTTTCAGCAGAGAAATTTGGCTATTAATTACCTATATCTCACTTTAAGTGTCTATATCCTTTAAGGACAGCAATTTCATTTTCAGTAATTCATCTTAAGAAGATATCCAGATAAGTATACAAAATGGATTGTACAAAAATGGTCAGCACAGTGCTATTTAATAGGAGGAAAAAAAATAAAAACATATATATGTCTCTTAATTGACAAATAAGGTAAAACCATTCAAATATATTTAAAAATTAAGAAGTCATTAAAATGAGCCGAAGCCGGTTTGGCTCAGTGGATAGAGCGTTGGCCTGCGGACTGAAAGGTCCCAGGTTCGATTCCGGTCAAGGGCATGTACTTGGGTTGCCCAGTAGGGGGTGTGCAGGAGGCAGCTGATCGATGTTTCTCTCTCCTCAATGTTTCTGACTCTCTGTCTCTCTCCCTTCCTCTCTGTAAAAAATCAATAAAATATATTTAAAAAAAAAAAAAAAAGAAGTCATTAAAATGAATATATTTACTGACATCCAATTATGTCTTATTAGTAAGTGAAAATAGCAGGATAGCCCTAACCAGTTTGGCTCAGCGCATAGAGCGTCGGCCTGTGGACTCAAGGGTCCCAGGTTCGATTCCGGTCAAGGGCATGTACCTTGGTTGCGAGCACGGCCCCAGTGGGGGGTGTGCAGGAGGCAGCTGATCAGTGTTTCTCTCTCATCGATGTTTCTAACTCTCTATCCCTCTCCCTTCCTCTTGGTAAAAAATCAATAAAATATATTAAAAAAAAGAAAATAGCAGGATATATAAGGCTATTCAATAAAACAATAAGCCTAATTTAATAAAACAATTTATTTTATCTCAAAAAGGGTATGTGTCAAAATATTAACAAAGATTACCTATTTTAAACAAAGAATAACGTTTCTCTCCGTTTTTCTTTTTGCTAGCCTATGTTTTCGAATTCTTACAACTATCTAAACCTGTTTTTCAGAAATTAAGGAAAAAGAATATTAAGAAAAAAGGACAGTTGTTCCTATGAAAAATAATTCATAATTAAAAATAATACAAGAATAAACTGTTTCATGTACTCACAATTGTAAACCTATGTTTGCCCACCCCTGTATACATACATACATACACATATACATATGTATATACTTGTAAAAAACAGTTATATTCCAAAATGCTGAAATATAGTAAAAAGTCTAGGGTGGAAAACTGAAATATAGCAAAATTTCAACAATGGTTATCTCCAAAGGTATACTATGGAGGCTTTCCTGTATTATTTACATTTTCCTTCATAATGAGAAAATGTTATTTTTACATTAAACTCACACACACTTAAATTTTAAGTACTTAAGTTTTATATTCATTATGTCAATAAAAATGGTACATAAGTTTATATAATAATGAAAAGCAGAAAATGGCTTCAACAGTATATAAATTTAAACTTTAATACCAAGTCAATTCAAAAGTGTTTCATGGCACAAAACACTAAGTTAAAGAACTTAATTTCCCACGTAACTCCAAAAATAACACATATCTCCTTAATATGAATACTCACCCCATATCTTTCAGCTACAATGTCTTCAAAATTTCTATTCTGTTTCTCAGCTTGTTCCTTCATTCTTTGATAAGACTTCCTTAGCCAGCTTAATCCACCATCTTCTATTACTGAAACTAAATTTCAATATTAAATGTCAGTTACACTTTTCATGTGGTATAACAGAATTAATATTTATTACTTCTAAAATCACTTAAAAATAAAATTATTTTTATAAGTCAAAAATTAAAAAACTGAAAAAATGTATGCTCCCATCATAATTAAGTTATATTATTATAGACCAAATATAACCAAATGAATCTGTGCTGCATTCCCCATTTTTCTTAGAAGACAGGATAATATTAAAATAGCAATAAACTAAAGATCAAGGGAACCTAGATTTTTAGTCTTGCTGCTGCTACTAACTAGTTTAAAAATCTTAAGCAAGATCTTCTTTGGAACTTTGTTTCTTTTTCTGTAATATAAAGGCAGCTGATTTAAACCACCTTTGACATTTTTTCCAACTCAAAAGATTCTAAAAGAGAATCCAAAAAAAAGAGGGAGGAAATCTATAAGAACACAAAATATCAGGAGTTTTGTAAGCAAGTTTTTGTAAGCTAGTTTTCTACTAACTACATAGTAACAAGTATAGTCTTCTAATGAAGAATCTAGAGTAACTAACCCTGGACTAGAAATCAGAAACCTGGGTTCTACTACCGCTCACAGAACTAGAGCAAATAACCTGACCACTTTAAGCTTTAGTTCCCTGAACTACAGAAGTGGGCAATAACATCTACTTTGCTATATTCACATGGTTGCTATTAAAATAAGCTGATATGTAAATGTGCCATATAAACTTTAAATGTACAGATATTCCTGTTACTAAAATACGATTTAAAATAATATTGTATGGATACTGAAAGTTTACTTATTTTTCCACTTAAGGGCTCGATCCCCAGTAGGGGGCGTACAGGAAGCAGCCAATCAATAATTCCCTCTCATCATTGATGTTCCTCTCTTTCCCCTCTCCCTTCCCCTCTGAAATAAATAATGTTTTAAAAAAATACTTTCCCACTTAATTTTGTCCAAAAAAAGAAAAATAAAGATTAACTCATTAATTATTCAAAACTAGAGGCCCGGTGCACAAAAATTTGTGTACTCGGGGGGAAGGGGGTGTGCCTCAGCCTGGCCTGTGCCCTCTCTCAGTCTGGGACCCCTCGGGAGATAACGCCCTGCTGCCTTAGGCCTGCTCCAGGGTGGCAGAGGGCAGGCCCAATCCCTAGGTGCAGCCCCTGGTCGGGCTCAGAGC